TTGTAAATGGAGGATTTGACGTATGTGATTTTCTCTCCCCCTGGCCCCCCCAGACCCAGTACCAATCTTCCTGGAGAACGCCCAAGTATCGAATTGCCATCGTGTCTAATATATGCCATATTAAATGCTTTGCTTAGGCATGTAAACCATATCTAAACCCTATTGTATTTAGATATGTACTGTATTTCCTCAATTTCTGGCTGTTTTTGATAGGAGAAAGTGTTTTAATTTCTCTTCCTTTGTGTTCTCTGCAGGGACATGCACAAAACTGGTCAACGAATGCTTTGTTCTAAGCTCAGAGGAAGCAACTCCTCTTGGAATGTTCTGTCTAAACATTTTTACTGCTTTTCAGCAACCATAAACTCTTAATGATGTAACTGTTGCCTCTTCTGAAATAACAATGCTTGGAATGTTTTGAGTGTTCCTCCATAAGAATAATAGGAACACAAGAGAAGCCCTTGCTCCCATGTTTTTCTTCCTAGGTACAATATGGAATGTTTCTTATCCCCCAAGCTACAGAAACATTGGCTTGGGGAATTTGAAAAACATCATAGAGGAGAAGCAGTATTTTGGCATATAGCACTTTTGCAGCCTTGCTTACCTCCATAAACAGCAAGCGATCCCAACAAGCAACAGCCAATGAAACATAAAATAGCAGCAAAATTCCCTTCCCTGGTTATTTATTTGTATCAGCCTCCTAATATGTGTGCAGAACACCCATTTGCATTTGGCAACCTGCCTAAAAGGAAAACAAATATGTGAAACAGCAGATTTTTAAAAATAAATTTAGCAACCTGAATGAAAAGAAAAACGGGAACAATAGAGAACACATAGGGAGAACTATATCAAACTGAAGGAGATGGACAGTTAGTTCAGAGATTTGGTCATTTTATAAGAAAATGTAAATCTAATTATTTTTTGTCCCTCTGAATTCGTGAGAGTGAATTATTTTGAAATTGCATCTGGATAGAATCTTGGATAACTAGAGTGTTCGATTGAAGTCATCTGCTCTTTATTCCTCTTGCTTGACTAGTAGATGATGAATATAAAAATGGGCCAATATAAGAAAATAGGGCCCATTCTCTTGCCACACCTTTAGCATAACCATTTTTTTTTTAAAAAAATCCCATTGCTCTGTAGAAATCTATGTTGTGAAGATTAAAAGTGAGAAGTAATTATCTATTTCAGATTACAGGTATTTCAAAATTCCTAGAAAATCAATTTGATTTATACACTTGGATGAAAACACAGGCATACCTTGGAGATTTTGTGGGTTTAGTTTCAGACCATCACAATACAGTTAATATTGCAATAAGGGGATGAGAGTAAGTCTGGCATAGTGGCTAAAAAACCAGGAGACTATGAATTCTATTCATGCTTTATGCATGAAAAGCTGGTTGGGTGACTTTGGGCAGATCATTCTCTCTTAGCCCAACTTACATCACAAAGGTATTGGAGGCTGGGCAAAAGTTGTTGGATCAAGAGTGATCAAAACGTTGTTCTCCAAGGTGCTCTACAAGGTGGCAATAATCACTTCCTCCATCAAAAAGACAACTATCACTTTCTGAATCTACTCTGTCATCCCTGAAGTAGCTCACAAATAAATCAGGAGTGAGGTGGGACCAACCTATAAATACAGCTATTTAAGAAAAACAACTTTGAATCTCTCTCCCTCTCCCTAGGTTCTACATTTACAAAATTATTGATTTACTAAATTAACAGTGTACTATATTGTTCATGGGCATTTATCACCAGAAGCCTAATACAATAGTACCACACTGAAGTCAACCCGCATATTGTCATATTAATACATATACATAACTGAGTCTACAAATGATACTGAAAAATAGGTATACAGCAGGAGATGAATGACATCTGTTGAGATTCCATGGGATTGGAATTTCAAAACACTATGTTTAAAATGAATTTTCTGGGTTGCAGAATTTATGTTCTTTTGACCATTGTTTACATCTTCATCAAACTGCATGGAGTATATCTTTGAGGGGATCATGATAGTAATACATTGTTTGCGTAATGCAGTATGCTGAAATAAAATGAAAGTGTACCTATTTTTAAATGCTTCGGGCTAGGCATGATTCAGAGAGAAGCATAAGCTGCTTAAAAGCAAGCTTTATGCTACAAATGGTCAATGCAATTCATAACATCAAGTGCTTCACCGAAGCAATGGCAGGAGGTTAAAGGCTTCATTTTACACAGGGATAAATGACAAATGGAAGATGGCATTAGCACAGATTAGGGTGCTTTTTGAAAACATGCCATGTGTGTCCTACTGCTCAGGCTTGCAGTTTAGCAATCCCAATCCAACAGCTCTTGATTTTCTCTGTACTAAAGCATTGTTTATCAGGTGGGATAAAGATTGCCTGCCGTTCGCCCAACTTTCAGGCCATCATCTGGACTCTTCTTCCTCCAATGGCTTCCATTCTAGCATCGGAGATCTATCTTGTAGTGGGAAGTGTAGGAACTTCACAAAGATGCTGCCTGAGCCAAATGAGTTGGTATCTTTCTTAGAGTTTCAATGTGAAGGTGTTGGTTTCTGAATAGAGACCCATAACCTGCCTTGGGGGAATATAAGGGAATAAGGGCTGTTGCATTGATTCTGAACTAGACATTTCTGCTACTTTTGGTGACATTCAGTTCTGTTTTGCTTTTAAGATATTATTGGAAATGCTCTTCTTGATTAACGCAAGGATGTTGTCAAACCAATACCATTTAAATGGCAAATAATGTTTTATTTTATTGCAGTTACTTTTTATGTGCTTTGTGTTTTGACAGTGAAATTTAATTACTGTACAAAATCTTTTCTGATGGCAAAGGCTGTATAGAGACTTTGAATAGTTTCTTTGTGATTGTAGTACTGTGCAGTAATATGTCCAAAACACCCTTATTCAAATTATCTCCGGCAGTTGCTTCAGAAATGCTTTTGGCTATCTCTGTGTGTGTGTGAGTCCATGCACAGCCACACAGCTGTGAAAAATTATAGGAAAGCGTGTTTTTCAAAAGGTTTATACAGTCATACTTAAATAAATGTAAAGGCCCAATCTTATATATTGAAAATAAGTATATCTAGTGTAAGTATAAGTCCAGTGCCTGTTTGTTTGGAAGTAAGACTTACTATGTTCAGTGAAGTTTAATAAAATCACCAAACAGCCTCACTTTCTTTCCTACTTAATAGTCTATTGTCCACAAGAATATAACAATTTTCTATTATCTTGGATTGGTTTAAGAACATTTGATCGGTGGCTTTTGTTAATGCATATATCAGAAATATAGCTAGACCAAGTTGTGGATTGATTTTTGTGAGCTCAGTTTAGAATCTTTGTGACTTATGCTACAAAAACAATGATTCTTTAATTTTTGTGTGTGTATTTGATAGAAAGAAAAATCCATCAATCCAAAAATATAAATGTATGTTTTGTTGCATTTGCAAAGCATGTCGAATGAGTTCACAGAGAGCTCTGAAATCTTGTGAAATACATAAGTTGAATTCCTTCTTGCAGATGGAATGACAGTGTCAATTTTTTTTTTTTTTTGTAAATGCAAGGAAAATTGAAGGGGACATCTTATTGTGTAAGCAGAAATTGTAAAATGTTGGGTCTTCTGGAATCCGGCAAACTCTATATATTAGTCTATGTAAGTGCTGTTATATACTACTATAGCCACATGCTGAACCTTATGCATTCTCATTCTGGACTGTATTGCTTTGAATAACTATCCCTAGGCAGAATTTTTATATTTATTCAGAGGTATTTTTATAGCTACAAATATACAAATTTTTATTTTCTCATGAATGTGCAGCGAATGTTGGAATTAGATGACTTATAAATATTGTTAATAATAATAATACCATGAATATTAAATGCTAATCAGTTTTTGAAATGTTAATTGATAGCACAGTTGTTCCCTTTCTCTCATTATTTATTCATTAGCATCATATATTACAAGGCTGTACATTTCTTTGTATATTTCTGACCCTTACAATGCCTGAACAATATTGATATACAATTTCAAACTATTGTTTGAAACAAACAGTAAACACCAGTATACCATTGAATTTATCACTGAATGTATTTCCTTTCTTACTTACTGCTTCTGAATTCTTCCTCATGATTTGATTTGTTTCTCTCCTATCGTAGGTTTCGATTTATTCATATTTGAGAGTATGTAATTTGCCAATGAAACGATATATCAATGAGCTTTTCTACTGTTAACATTCCTTTTAGTGGATAAAAAAAATATTGATTATTTCTTTTATGGGTTTTTGGTGTTCTCTCATAAAATCTTACAAAGTCTCAACAGTGAAATTGTGTAACTGTTGCACAATTAATATCTGCTTTTTGATATTTGAAAATTGTAAGACTTTATCAAGGTGTTGATCTCCTGAAAATATTACTGACTTGTAGTCTGTAGTTTATCACATACGAACAGATGAAATAATTCTGCCCAGTTCTGATAAAAAATAATTGATCAATGGAAGCATGGAAATGGGCCAAAAGAAAGAGGGCAATGAGATACGTTGATTTACATAGACAGAAGTAAAGGAAATAATGTTCCCATATATTGATGTATGCTTCATGTATGTTCATATATTCATATATGAGTACAAATTTCACTTGTGAACTGAAAATGATGCACTGTGGAGTTTCTTTCTAGCTTTTTCTTCTCCTCTGATCTTAAAGCTTTGGGAAAATATTATATACTCCAAATTGTATGGTGATTAGATGCTTACGAAAATGAAAGATATGTGTTAGGAAAAAAGATATTTTTGAAATGTTTTGTTTTTTATACTCAGTTTAAAAAGACCCACAGAAATCTAGTAGTTCCAGCATTACACGTGTTTATAATTATTTGCCTATTTTTTCATGCAAAGTGTAGTTTGAAAGATTAGTAGCAATTTTATAGATAATTATTACAGTAATTATGCAGCAGAGTAAATTAGGGATGCTGGTTAAATAAAATTGTTGCAATCTTTCATCCTTTAGTTGAAAGATGTATGAGTGTTATGCAATCTGGGACTCAGATGATTAAACTGAAGCATGGAGCCAAAGGGTTAGTGCGTCTTTTTTATCTTGATGAGCACAGGACGTGCATCAGATGGAGGCCATCTAGGAAAAGTGAAAAGGCAAAAAGTAAGTTCTTTTGAAGTTATTATTTACTTTGCATGTCTTACGATGCACTTTTTAATTTGCAAGGGCACGTGTTTTATGTTTATTAAAAATGGGTGCCAGCTCTTCCCCACAGCATTAGTCCGGCACTAGGAATGATTGTGACTAAGCTTGGTGCCAGTATTAACCACCTCAAAATTAAGACTGGCAGTCTCAGGAAAGAGAACATTTGATCTCCAGTTCTCTTCTGGTTCTTTATTCATAGGCTAAAAAAATGAGCATATAAGATATATGCATGTAAGGGATCATAATGTAAAACACATTCTATATTTTCATCTGTGCAGGTAGTCTACAACTTACAACAGTTTGTTTAATGACCAAAGTTGCAACAGCACTGAAAAAAGTGATTTGTGACCGTTTTTCATACTTACGACTATTGCAGCTTCCCCATCTTCATGTGATCAAAATCCGGACATTGGCAACTGTTACCTATTTATGAGGGTTGCAATGTCCCGGGATCATATAATCATTTTTGTGACTTTCTTACTAACAAAGTCAATGGGGAAGCCAGATTCACTTAATAATAAGTCTTAATAACTTAACAAGTGCAGTGCTTCACTTAAAAAACTGTGGCAAGAAAGGTCGTAAAATGGGGCAAAACTCACTTAACAACTGTCTTGCTTAACAACAGAAATTTTGGGCTCAATTGGACTCGTAAGTCCAATTGTCAAAGGGAGTCATGCTTAACTCATCTCTTTTTTACTTTGTTTTGGTGAAAAAGCAAAATTATTTTTGTGTGGGTTTGGGGTAAGTATTCTCTGTCAGCTTTCATGTCTTTGGAATAATATAATAAAAAGGCATTTATAATTCCTGCTACAATTTTATTGCAACTAATCTCTTCCATAGATGTATTTTTTTTTAAATTGAAGGTACAAAATGTCTCCTACATGAGTGAAGTCAAATATTTCATTTCACTGTTTTGTATTTTGAGGCGTTATTTTGGGTGGATTTTTTGGGGCAAGAATGGGTTCAGGCTTAAGGCCACTTTCAGAATGCAAAGCTTGACATGAAATGCAAAGCCATAGCTGAAGTTTACAGAAGTTGTGCATTTCTGAATTAATTCATTATCCTAGATAAATTGTTCCTGGATTGATTTATTAATATAAAATGGAATATTGCAATCAGCTATACGATAAACCAGATTGTACTATTTTATTTTTGTTTTCACAGTCATAATTGATTCTATCTACAAAGTCACTGAAGGGCGGCAATCAGAAATATTCCATCGCCATGCAGAGGGCAATTTTGACCCAAGCTGCTGCTTTACAATTTACCATGGCAATCATATGGAATCATTGGATCTGATAACTTCTAACTCGGAGGAAGCCCGTACCTGGATCACTGGGCTGAAATATTTGATGGCTGGGATAAGTGATGAGGACTCTCTTGCTAAAAGACAGAGGACACACGATCAATATCCTTTCAAAGCATTCTATTCTGGGACAATATAGTGATTCTGATTGATCTGTCTTATTTATTTATTTATGAATAATTTTTATGCCCCCTTTATTATTTCATAGATAATTCAAGGTGATGAATTACCTAATACTTTTTCCTCCTCCTTCCTTCCTCACTGTGAGATGAGCTGGGCTGAGAGAGCCTGACTCAGGCCCTAAAATCTAGCTAGCTTTCATGCCTATGTGGGACAAGAACTCGCAATTATTTATTTCAATGGCAATTCTCATTATAAGCAGGCACTTATAGAGTAACAACATGGTTCAACCTTTTAAGAACATCACCCATTACAAAATAGCTAAATGAGTTCCAATTATAATAACTGATTCCATCTAAGGGAATAGTACTTTATAGTGTTTTTTTCTAAGGTACTTAAAAATGATGTGGAAGAATTTCTTTAGATTTTTCATGAGCACAGCACTTCCCTGCTGCATATAAAACAAGCATTTATTTAATTTCAAGCTTTTATGTTAGTCTAAAAAAATAATCTGGTTGCTTTAAGGAGTTGAATTATTAAAGTTAATGCAGCTCATATAGCAACTGTCAGAGGGCTGCAGCAGGAGTAGAATAGAATAGAATTATTTATGGGACAAGTGTGATTGGACACACAAGGAGTTTGTCTTTGGTGCATATGCTCTCAATGTACATAAAAAGACAAGATACATTCATCAAGAATCATAAGGTACAACACTTAATGATAGCCATAGAGTACAAATAAGAACGATTTGGGTGACAGGAACAATGAGAAAACTAATAGCAATAGTAATGCAGCCTCAGTGAATAGTTTGACAGTGGTGGGGGGATTATTTGTTTAACAGAGTGATGGCGTTCTTGTGTCTAGTTGTCTTGATGTGCAGTGTGCAGAAATGTGGAAAAAATGGAGTACTTTAATGAATAACAGAGAAGTGCTGATCAATTGTTCTAATTGGCTCCCATCTGTTTGTAATCAAATGTAGTCTTTAATGATTCATTAGAATGAAGCAGCAATTTGGTTTCTAAACTGGTGAGCCTGATCATCCCTTGTTCATATGAAACTCTGCCCTCTCTTTTAATTTTGTATTGATTGACCCCTTTGGAGGAAATGTGTAATTCTTACCCTCTACTATAATTTCTGTTTATTTATTTGGCTGGTTTTATTTGTCATCACAGCATGCAGAATTGGGGCAATCAGCTTGGTGATTCTGCTTTGTTTTTGTTTTTTTCCTGTTAATCATGGCAAGAACATAAAACAGAAACATGAAGTAATAGTGTACAGTTCTTTTCAAGGTTCTCCGTGAACCAAGTGGCTTAGTATTTTAATGACATCATGATCTCTACTCAGGTGGGTTTATAAGATAGTAAAATGTCATTTAGTTTGTGTTGGGTTATTATTCATTGAGTATTTTGTATTTCACTCACATATTGTAATCTATTTGCCAATTCCTCAAATAACTATACCATTGGTGGGTTGCAGGCGGTACACCCCAGTACAGGTGTACCAGAGTCTGCCTGGAGCACTGGGTACTGTTCTGGTACAGTGCTCCAGAGGGCTCACCTGCCTGCCCACAGTCCTTACCTGTCTTTAAACTCTTCAGCGCTTCTGCACACGCGCACAGCATGTACAGTGTCTGTGCGATGCTCCGCCGAGCAGCTGGAGCATCGCGGAGGCGTAGCTGGATGGTAAGACACATGCACGTAGCGTGCATGTGCATGAATGTGGAGAACGCGGGCCCTGTTGCAACCGTACCAATTGCAACGGGATCCGGAACCCACCACTGAACCATACACTAAAAAAACAAAAACACAACCATATGCAATTCATTTTAGAACAAAGAAGCAGCAATAATTAAACCAGGATCACAAACATCAGAGACAAAATACTGTATGTATGAAAGTGAAAGGGGGTGAAAACATAATTTTGGGCATCCTGTTTAATTAAACAGGACCAAATAAACCAGAGGTGTCAAACTCGCAGCCCGCAGGCTGGATGCATCATGTGCTGGACATGCCCATGCCCGGTTTAGCAAAGGGGGAAAAAAGTCATGACACATCATGTGATGAGGCCATGAAGACACTAGTTTGATACCTCTGAAATAAAGTAACCTAAGGACAAATCTCTAGAGACAAAGATATTTCATTCCAAAAAGATTATGCTCTGGAAAAGCATATTTTCCCCCGTGAGGATATTGGATGATGAAGTGGTTTGATTCGTCCCAAGTTGCCTAGCTGAAAAAAAAAAAAGAATGCCAAATATTCTCATTTCCGAATTTCAGCTCTTGTTATCATAAGGCAGAGAAACCTTTGCCAACATTTTATGGCTAATTACTCCATAAATTACTTATGTAATTTCTATCTTTTCTGGCTTTTGGAGGCTTCACATGGCTGCCATGCATTTGGTTATGCAGAAATATTTCTTCAAGCCTTGTTTGCATGATCAGTTCTGGCAGATGGATGACTGCACAGAGGAATGGGCCCTGTAGCATCTCCAGCTGGAGTGAGGATATAACGGCAGGCACTAAAGGGTATAGATTCCTAGCAAAAGTGCCTCTGATCAGGGAGCAACTGAAGAAAAAAAAATAAGCAGTAGAATTAATGGGTTATTAAATTATAGAAGAAGAACCAAACCAGATGGAACAGGATTGGTCCATGGAGAACGATTTCTTAAAAATAAATGACAGACCCAGAGAGGGAAAAGAAGTTAAATTGGGTCAATTGTATAAGAGAGGAAATTTAAGCATTTATGGTTCAAATCAGAATAATTCCCTGTGCGTTTATTTGCAATAGAAAGAATATCCTCACTGGTCATAGAAATATTTCGAGTGTAGCTTCCTTTTATTGTGATCAGAAAAGCTCTGTGTGAGGGAAGGAGAATTCACATTTGGACAATAGTGAAGCCAAAGGATTTCTTCCAGCATTGTGAAAAGTTGGTGGTCGTGGAAACAATTGCAGTCAAAGACTAAGCTGGGATACTCAGCATGGCAATGTTGTTCTACTAACCGTACTGTTTACAGTACTAGTGGATCATCCTTGTAGCCCCTCAAAGTCTGCTCCAGAAGAATGGAAGAGATTGAAAAAAATCCCTAACTTGGGTTAATTTCTGTTCGTATGTTACTGAGCCAAAAAAAAGGGAATGAAAACGAACATAACAAAAACTAGCAAGCCCAAAAGATATCAAAAAGACCAGAACCCCCCCCCCCCAGCAATTAGCACCCACAGTGACCATAAATTAACTCCAAGATTAACATCAGACCAACAATGAAAAAGTAAACGATACCCCAAACAAGGAACTGCCAAACATGCTAACAGGGCAAGATAAGATCACCCCTATCAATACTGGCATGGCAAGCCAGCCACTAGAGGACAGCAAACCCCATTCTGATGATGCTACCTAAACTTGGCTAATGAAACATCTGCAAGAAAACAACCCCACCCAGTAAGCGACAAGGACTCCTTGTTACTGAATTTAATATATGTCCTGTCCTTATAGACAACGCTTAACACATTAGATTAGGCTAAAAGAGAGAGAGGGTTATTTGTAGTAATTAGTTATGCCAACATTGTAATTTTGCTTTGTGAACTTCAGTTGAGGTTTCTTTTCCTGAAAACCCAGCCACTAAGGAAGAAACCCACCTGCCCTGTTTAGAAGACATTGGAAAGTGTTACTATTACTGATGGAAATAGCTTTCTTGCGTTATAACTGAAGTGCCTGCAGGTTCTTAATTTAGAAAAAAGAATGAATGGATGAAGCAAGGTGATAATGGTATATAGTATGAATAAATGGAGTTGAAGAATTAGCTGGCTAAACTAATGTGACACAAAGGGATATCACCAGCAATGATCTCAGTGTGTATTAGCAAATTATATTATGTCTTTCTAATCAAATATTCATATCTGGGGAGCTTCTGTGGACCTCCATTGACACTTGATGGAGTTTGAACATTAACCTAGGAAGGGAGTTTTTATGAATTGATGAAACGCAGTGTCTCTATGCAACATATACTTGTTAGTATTATATCATCAACTTCAGTTTTGTATCTCTAAGTGCTTATTTTAAATAGGCATCATTTCAAGTTTATCTTAAGACAATGAACATCTTTCCAAAACTGGGCTGCCACAAGGAGAGTGCCAACCAATATGTTGGTTTTTAATTAACTTTGGTTTTAGTTATTGTACAATAAGTAAGTGTAGCCTTCTTCCCAACCTTCCCAAATCCTGGGTAAGAATTTTGAAAACTAGTTTTAAAGTTTTTGTATTGTGCTCAGTTTGGAACTGGTTAAGTACTAGATATTGTATATTCCATTGCATTATAATGTAAAGCAGCATTATTAGTGGCTTCATACCTTCCTTATTTCTTATTAATATGTCATTTGTGCATATTATCCCCTACTTTAAAAAGAAACAAGCTGATACCTTCTGTGTTTATGTGCTTACTTACCATTATGCACTGATTTACCTAACCTTTTTTTACACTTTTGCTTTTTTCTCAATAATGTAAAAGTGTATCCCAATATTTTGATAAAGGGAGTTATACGTTCCTTAATTTGTCTCCACTTGGGTGAAGCAGACCTTTCAGGAAGCTGATAAGAATGGGGATGGTTTGCTGAATATTGAGGAAATTCATCAGTTGATGCATAAACTGAATGTCAACCTGCCCAGAAGAAAAGTAAGACAAATGTTTCAGGTGAGTTTTTTTCTATTTATAAATATAAATATTAGTCTCTCAAAAGAGAAATCTAAAGTTACAAGTACCATAATTGTCAGCTGATGACCCCAACTGAAACTGTAATTTCTGTAACTAAACTATATAGAAATAAAGCAACATGTCACATGAACCACATCACTTAGCAACCACAATTGCAACCCCAGCTGCTGTCACAAAACTCATGGGTTGTTAAGTGGAAGGATCTCCAGGTAAGAAACATGAGAATGCTGCAAGGGGGGGATAAAGAAGATGATGGAATGTGCACCTGGAAAAGAGGCAGTACTTTCCATCAGAGAAAAGCCCAAATTAAGAAGCTGCAAAATCCCAAAGTGGATCGGAGAAGGGAGAAGAGATTTAGAGTAGCCACACCTAGAAAATCTCAGTATGTATCCATGAGATTAGAGTTATAGCTTTAATTCAGCAAGATTCTGTCCACCAAGTACAAGCAAATAAGGATTGGAGTGTGTCATCTTTGGTCCTGGGCCTTTGTTTGGTCCTTTCACTGCGACTTCTTTGGTCCTGGGGCTAAAATCAAAGACTGGGAATGATGGCAGCTGGCTGAGATTGCTGAAGGCCAAGGTCTTCTACTTTGGCCCCAGTATTGGCACTGCTCCGCTGAGTGTTTCTATACAAGGTGGCCAAAAAGGACATTGATTTGGGGGGGGGGAATAGTTGGGTGGTGGCATTGCAGCAGCTCTATGCTCATAGGTGCCAAGCACCCAAATCTTGATCATGGAGGATCAAGATCATGAGGAACACCTCATTGGCCATAACTTTGGGCCCAGATGCCCATTTTTTCAGCATTGGCACAATTTCAAATGGTTGCTGAATTAATACTTGTAAGTTGAGGACTACCTGTATCAATGAAGATAAATTGAAAGTTAGTGCAATGTATTTGTTATTCATGGAGGAAATACCAATGGGAAAGACTCATCAAGGCATGTCAGTATTGGCATCTGGCTCTTGTTGGATTGGTGACACATCTCACAGTAGCCCACCCTCAAGGATTTATAATATTGAGATAACCGCAGATGGTACACTTATTTACTGAACATATTAAGAGGCTGGTGATTAAGCATAGTATCAATTTTGCTAGCTGGGGTAAGTGACAAATTTATTGCTGTAACAGCTTTATTGGGTCACCTCAAGTTTGGGGATTATGAGAGGGCAAGAAAAAAACTTCTCAAATTTCATCTTTATATTATTTTATACATTTTTTCAAGTTTCCTATATTTTCTTTTCTCCCTAATTAAATTTCAGAGTGTCATACTGTTTCATTGTAGGGATATCCATCCAGATGCTTAAATAGTGTCCTATAGGTTTTTTAAAAAAATGTTTTTTCTAGTTTTTGAGGGATGCTAATCGGAATGTAGAAAAATCCCAAGTTTTGTTGCAGGACAGGTTTGTGAAAAGGCATTAAGAGATTGAAAGTATAATTTCATTGATGCTTCTTCTGATGATTTCCAATGTGGTGTTTACCTTTTTCAGAATAGCTGCACCCAAAAGAAACGTTGATTATCCATTATATTCCTAACTGTCCAGTCATTTCTAGCTTTAAATGATCAGTTGAAATGAAATCAGAATTTCACATTTGTGGCTGGATGCCTGTCTCCTGAAAGAGATTCTGTGATTATTATTATTTTTTTGGCTGTTTCTTGGCAACTGCATTATGGGTCCTACAGAGTTCAAATTCATTCAAAGTATTGACATTTATATGTGACCAGGAGGGTAGCTTCTCTGGAAATAAAGGGTCAGCATGTCATAATGTCTTAATGACATGAAACCTTACTGTCTTTTTAAACCATTCTTGTGAAATTCTACATGTCCCACAAAAACAGGAGACTAGATTGAATCAGAGCAAATACATTGAAGTTGAGTCCAGATAATAACAGAATAACAGAATTGGGAGGGACCTTGGAATGCTTCTAGTCCAACCCCCTACTTAAGCAGGAAATCCTATTTCAGACAAATGTTATAATACAGAATATGTATACAGAAGACAGAAGTATGTTTAGTTTCTGCATTTTGCCACTGAAAATACAATACAATACAATAGCAGAGTAAGAAGGAACCTTGGAGGTCTTCTAGTCCAACCCGCCCCAGGCAGAAAACCCTATACCGTTTCAGATAAATGGCTATCCAACATCTTCTTAAAGACTTCCAGTGTTGGGCCATTCACAACTTCTGGAGGCAAGCTGTTCCACTAATTAATTGTTCTAACTGTCAGGAAATGGGACGCCTCTATGTCGGACACAGCGGCGGGGCATCCGAATGCCCTGCTGCTGTGTCCGACATAGGGCGGCTTTTGCCCGCTTGCCTCACAGCCATAAACCTCACCGCACGTCACTGGTGTTGGCTATTCCTGCCAGCTTGATGTCATCTGCAAATTTGATGAGTTCCCCATTTATTCCCTCATCCAAATCATTGATGAAGATGTTGGATTGATGGATTCATCTGTTACATTGGGGGGGGGGTGTGCATCATATGTAAGATATACTGGTATGCATTACTAAAAGATTCCATCATTGTCATTGGATTTATAAATAACTTCAGAATAGAAGAGTGACTTTTATTAGTTTAGAAAGATGTACAAGCTCCAGCCCTATTTGGTCAGGAATTGAGAGGCTCTCCTAGCCTAGCCTAGTAGTGCCCCAACTGTATAAAACTACCTTTGAAGAGAGAGAGTTCAAAGGCTTCAGCCAATCTGAAACAGAACTGCTAGCTCTGGTCATATTTCCTGATATGATCATATGATTCGATAACTTTGGTATTTGCACTGGCTGCCGATCCATTTCTAGAATCATTTCAAAGTGTTGATGATTTTTATCTTCAAAGCTTGAGCCCAGCATATAGAAACAGCTAAAGGTACACTTGATTTTTGTGTGTTGTGTCAAGGGTAGTAAACAGAAACTCAATTAAGTTTAAATTAAAATCAATATTATTTATGTTCACATTAAAATTGGCAGTGTTTGGGTGGCCTGATCAATCATGGGCACATGCAGTTGTGGGACTGGAGGTTGGGAATCCCAAATCTAAAGGGACATTTCTTCCTCCTCCTTCTCCGCCTTAATTCTCTAGAATGGATTAAGTATTAGTTGACTGAACAGACGAATTAAGCTCATAAAACTGGGATGATAGCTTAAAATGTATTTGTTTGTTAGTTTACTTTATTAAATATATTTAAATCATACTTCAATCACAATGACTCTTAGTGTCTAATGTAGAAGAAATACAATGTAAAATATATCCAATGAGTGAGCCTTCTGAGTTATGGCCATCAATATTATTTTCCACCAGTTTAGAATTCAATTATTTTTAGGAAATGACAACTATTTCCCATCCCTTCTTTTTCTGCTGAGATTTGTTGTGTTCTTTTGAAAATACTTGCTTATGTCTCTTTTGGGCCTGATTATACAGTAGGTATGTAATCCTGCCCAAAAAAAAAAAAGCTATTTAGGAGCTATTTAGATTTTATAAATTAAAAGTACACATTATCCTTGCTTAATAACAAAAATAAAGTCTTGCTAAATGATGTGATAGGTAAGCAAGAGACCATGTGACCACAACAGATGTACAGCCTTACTTCTGAGATGGTGACTAAGGAAATCACTCATGGTCATTAATTGAGACATCACGTGACCATGATTTTACTGCCAGCTTATCTATTGATTCTGCTTTTGGAAGCACACTGAGGAGTATGCAAATGATGTCTATGGGACACTGCACAGTTCTAAATGACCACCAAGTTGCAAAGTGTCCAAATTTTAATCAAATGACTGCAGCCGTTTTGTAATAGAAGTATGAGGATTGATTGTTATTTTTTTGTACCACTGCAACTTCAAATGATCACTAAACAGGGCAATCGTTAAGCGAAAACTACCTGTAATGAAACTATAGCTGTATGTAACCAGACTTGCACTAGACTTTTTAATGTGATATGAGGGAAATAAGGCAAACCTCAGGCTAATCCATTCCAATGTTGCCTTTCCTTCTCTGAAGCTCTTATTTCAAGTTATAAATAGTCATTAACATGTTGTCAAAACTCTACACTCAGGATATTGTGATCAGTGGTTTCTTAGAACAAGTTAGCTTCATAATATATTATGAATTCGGCTTGTTTCAAGCCTGTATTAACGTTGAATGAAGTAGTACACTACAGTAGAGTGTCAAAGTTGCATCTTCACAGCATCATCATGTGATGTATTGGGACTTCCCCCCCCTTTTGCTAAACCGGGTGGGGCCAGCACACAAGTTTGATACCCCTGCACTTCAGCTAACAGAAGAAATGGTCACATAACTCTATTTTCAAAATAACTGCAGAATAACATTGTTGACACATACGTGATGAATTTCTTGAAATATTTTCTTACACATTCTTGAAAGCAGTTCCAGTTAGCCCTTTCTGTTCCACGCATGCACTATTGTAGTGTTGTTGGCTCTATCATGCAATTGGTCCAATAGTAGCCCACATACATACCATAGATATAGCCTGACTCACAATAGCTTCTGTAACACAAATGATGTTCACCCACTTTAAACTTACTGGCTTTATTTGAATCCATACTGAGTCAGCAAATGTAGCATGAGCCAGAACTACATGCAATCTAGATTATGTATAATCTGATTACAAATATCTCTAATTTAATGTAAAAACACTTTACTAGGCAGAATTAAAAATACTATTACTGAAAGGATGCTACAGAGATTCTCTTGCATACCTCCTTTAAAGCTTACAACTAGTTGATTAATATTTAGCAGTGTAAGTAGACTTTTTTTTAGTCCATTACTGTGTGGATTTAGCAACACAGAGATAATTATTTTAAAAGAGCATTGTGAACATTGTGTATATCTGAAGCAAATCCTCTTTAACATATACTATATTTACAAAACCAAAATCATGATAAGTGATAAGCGAACTCTTCTTTGAGGACAAATCCTCATTACAGTAAAAAGGGAGTTAGTAGTTGAACTTGTTCCTGACAACCAGTCTCAATATTGTTGAAAATCATAGTTATTTGGTTCCAAGATCACGAGATACGGTTCTCATTACAAATAAATAAATATCAGTCTGTGTTCAGTGCTAATAAAAGATCTTATTCAGCTCAATTGGGTTACGCAGACATTTTGTAAACACTTACAGGATTATATTATACTCTAATCAGTTTGCATGGATCAGGTTGTATTTACACTACAATAAAATAGCCGTAGTGAAATATTTTCAAATAGAAAAACTTTGGCAAACGTAGTTATCTCTTGCATTCTCCTTTTTAAAAAAAATTAAAAAAATTAGGCCTAAATTTACATTTAGCAAGGATTAATATCCATTAAACTCAGTAGAAATTAGCTTGAAATAAAAAAAAGATTAGGGAAATGTTAGTAGCAAATATAAATTGAGCTATATTTGGATTTCACAGATGTATTTTCTTTCTATGAGTGTTGTATCTAGCTGCTACAGATAATTGGTTATGCTTTTTCCTTAGGAGGCCGACACAGATGAGAACCAGGGAACTTTAAACTTTGAAGAGTTTTCTGTGTTTTATAAGATGATGTCATTACGGCGTGACCTATACTTGCTGCTCTTGAGCTATAGTGATAAGAAAGACCACCTCACTGTTGAAGATTTTACTCAGTTTTTGAAGATAGAACAGAAGGTAAGATGCAAAACAAAAATGATTAACACTCCAAATCATAACAAAATGTCCCCATTTGCTTTTTGCATTCTGTTGCTTTTATCTTGAAAACATTTATCAAAAACAACTATCTAATACTTGTATCATTGAAAATATTGACATCTATACTCGTGCACATTGAGACCAGAGAACGTTTTATGAATCAGAGCTGCATAGATTTCATTTCTTTTATTCTGAGCACTATTTTATTTTCTATATTTTCTGTAGATGCTTATGTAACTTGAAAGTGTCACAACTCATAACTACACTTTTCCAGAATGCAAAGATTTTGTTTGAAGCTGGGGGTAAAAAAAGATCAATTATTTCTTATTCAAGAGACCTTTTAGCCACTGGAACTCATCTTCTCCCATCAGATGTATATGTTGACAAATCCTTTCTTTTTGTCTGTCTCTAAATAGAAAAATAAAATTTGATTGCTTCACACAATGAGGTGTTCTCAGAAAAAGAGAATGTATTGGTTACTAATGTCTTATAGCAAAAGAAGAACACGACGTTTCTGCTCCTACTGAGCTATGGATGCAACTCACTGTTTATAATACCTCCTCAAATTGTCTAGAAATCATGAAAATCAGAATATGATTTACAAATCCATTTCTGCTTTAGAGGCCCTGATGCTATACACAGTATTCATTGCACTATATTCACCTGTCCAAAAGCTTCACATGAAGACCTTGCTTGTCTCCTTTATCATCTGCAGTTAGGCTGGATATTACTAGAATGACAGTTCTTGGACAGATTATATGAATACTGTGCCAGAAAAACACTTAGATCAGTGCTTTTGGGCATTAGGGGGAGATATTTTTAATTTATCGGAGTATTTAAAAAGTTTTTATTGGTGTTTTGTTGTGTATTTATGACTTACACTGGGTTTGCTAGATTGATCAGCTTTGGCTGCCACTTCAATGATATCTATTGTGAAAGTAGTATTGCCACCTCCTTTGCTTTAAAGAGACCTTATATATGTACTAGGTTAGTGATTCCCAAACTTGGCAACTTTAAGACTTGTGGTCTTAAAGTTGCCAAGTTTGGGAACCACTGTACTAGGTAAATGATGATCAAATGGTTTTCTGGTTATGTTAGCAGCTGGAATCACCATTGCATGTGAGAAGATAATTTCTACTAGATTCACAATATGGATTTAAAGGAGACCACATGCTTTTCTTCTTGTTTATTATTAGTGTCATGTTCATGGTGTAGAAGGACAAAAGCTAAAATATCAGTTTTGAAGCATCCAGAAAGAAAGATTATAGGCTTTGGGTATAGCTCAAGGCCAAAGCCAATATTGACACCTGTTATAAATAATTGGTATTTTGTTTCATTGGTGTATCAGCTTTGGATGGTCATCTGTTATTCATTACCATTGCATTTGTCAGCTGTAATATGCCCAGCTTCTCTATCCCTGTCACTATTCATAGGGCTTATCACGTATATTCATGCAAGACAGTTATATGGTGTCCATTACTTCACTCTGGATCAATGACTTTGAAAAAACACCTGCTATCCATTCAAAAGATTGCAAACGTGCTCAGCATTATAATTTACTTTCAGGAGACAAGTTGAGCTTTGAAGTTGAAATGAGTAATAAAAATATATATGAGGCACACAGAAGAGCATTGAACCTAAGTGCTTCAGTAACAGAATGTCAGTGATACATATTGACCAGCACAAGTTAGTCCAATGAGGGTTACTTTATAAAGCCAGGGTAGATGAAGTTCAAGTTCAAATGATGTATTTAATCTGTTTTTCTTCTTGCCTGTGTTCTAGACTACCTACTATTACCAATCACACTTTGGTGGCTTAGAACCACAAGCAATTATCTGTATATATTACAGTATACTTTCTTTTGCATGTGTTTTTTGCTGTTTGTTTGAAACATCACCCACCTATATAAGCACAAATATTAAGTGAACATAATCCATACTGTGATTATGTCACAAGGTGAACTTAGTGTGCTCATATCACTTTATCAGATGTGATTGATGAACACTGAAAGAGAATTCCACTGTTGATATTAAGCTGAGGCTGAAAATAATTGCTTTGTTTTATGCTGAAGAATAGATGCTGAAAGACATTGTATTCTGGAATCTTTCATTACTTCTAGAATTTCAGCAAATTTGGAAGGATAAATATACCTTCTCATTCATGAACTGATAGAGAGGAAGGAAGGCAAAGTGCTAGTGCCCTGAGAGATCATCGTTCCTTAAACGGGGAGAGCCTTCTCTGTTGCAGCTCCGACCCTCTGGAACGAGCTCCCTGTTGAGATCCGGATCCTTACTACCCTCCCGGCCTTCCGCAAAGCCACCAAGTCCTGGCTGTTCCAGCAGGCTGGGGGGAGCTGAGAAGCATCTACCTCCATAGAAATTGTGAATGTTGGTTTTGTTTTTAATATGTTGTCTTTGTCTTGTTCCCCCCTTTCCCTTGTCTTTTGTGAGCCGCCCGGAGTCCTCCGGGAGTGGGCGGCATACAAGACAAATAAATAAATAAATAAATAAACAAATAAATAAACAAATAAATAAATAAATAAATAAATAAATAAATAAATAAAACAAGCCTTTTTGATTGGCTTGGGAAATGAAAGAACATGAACATTACAGTTCAACAGAAGCTCTTCATTCAAGATGAAATAATCTCTTGTCATTGATGAAGATTACAATTTCTATCATTTTCAGTGATGCCACTTTATTCAAGTTATTTTTAAAAACTTAGTAAACTGAAACTAAGTTTCCTATTCTGTACATTTTATTGAATTTATGAATAATGGAAATTAAACTTTAGTGAATGATTATAGAATTCGTTAACACAAAGTTTCAAATCAGGAATCACAGGAATACAATCATTTTCTTTTCTCATATTGCTAAATTTAATCCCAGTTTCCTAAATTGAATGTGGTTGAATGTGGTTATGCTTTCATCTTTAACATTCTATTGCAGTAATACCAGTGTAAATGTAAAAATGTTTAATGTTAAATGTCAGAATAACTGGGTTTTCTGAGAATTATTAGCGAACAATAAATTTGAGTCATATTTTAATGTTGATTAAATGTTGATTAATGTTGAAAATCAACAGATATTTATTTTGCAAACACAGAGGGCAATCCATGTTTAGTTATTTATTCAACTCAATTTCAATGTGGCCCAATCCTTCTGCTAAAACCTAAGAAAAACTTGTAATATGCGTGGAAAAAGGAAGAATTTGATTTAGGTTAAAATTGACCTGCTAGATGAGCAGAACTTTTATTTGGTGCTTATTTCTTGTTCAGCATCCCTAGTCTCTGGTGGCCTTGTCATTTTATGTTTTGGTGATGGAACTAAACTTTATAAATGTGCATAATGAAACCTACTCATAATTATGCTTCAACACTGGAAATTTTAAAGAAGAGATTGGACGACCATATGTCTGAAATGGTATAGGGTTTTCTGCCTGAGTAGGGGGTTGGATCAAAAGACCTCTAAGGTCCCTTCCAACTCTGTTATTCTGTTATAGATGAAGAAATTGAAGTTGTGGATATGGAATTGGTGGGAATTAGTCTCTCCTTGCTATTTGCTCCTATGTATTTTTCTTTTTTTTTCTTTTTGTTCACTTTGTGAATGCATTTTATTGCATTCTATTCTGAATTTTAATTTTGACTTGTTTTATTTTGTATGCTGCCCTAGGAACCACTGTTATAAGGTGGCTTATAAATTGAATGAATTAATAGATAATGCTGAGATTGTCTCAAAGGTCCTTTTGCAAAAGGCAACTTGTCTGTTTTTTCCTTGAGAAAGAAGAAGGAGAAAACATTTTGCTTCTCATCAGAGAAGCTTCATTGGTTTTGGCAGGGGATGATAGAAGAATTGATCCATTGTTCCAGTTGGATGAGAAATGAAATGCCTTTTAAAAAGCACCTTTGAGACTACTATGACCTGGATGACTGAGAATTTCCACAGACAATAGTACTGAGAGTTGATATGACCGCTGGACTTAAATAATATTCTTAGCAAAGTTTCCCAGTTTAGTCATATTATAATGTTATAACTTCTCTCTCTGCATATATAGATAGAAACATTCCACAATTTCTGAATGTTTTGCCTTTGGAGCAAGAATAACACTTGATAAAGAATTTTATTCTATTCTTGGCGATCTCACACTTTGCTGTTCAACTAAGAAAATTCAGTTTAGCTTTAATACCTATGTAGTGACAGTGTTATTTCATAGTGATTACACTCTAAGTGGGAGGAATCATTGATGCTCTCTGAGCTTGGTTGTTTATTTGCAGACATTTTGCTACCAGACTAGGTAATACAGTATATTCAGTGTTAGAAAAGAATGGAGTTTGCTCTCTGTTTGTATACATTAGCTTTCCCTCTCCTTGTTGGTGGGATGTTGTTTTTGTCTTAACAGTTTCTTAATTAGGCTGTTGTTTACTTCATTGTTTACCTGGTGTTAATATCTGCTTACCTTGTTGTTGATTGCTAGTGAAGAGATCCTCTGATCTTTTGTTTTCTTATTAGTTTTTTTTATTGTCTCTTGAATGGTATGCAGATGTTGTTTATCTCTGTGTGCCTGTTGCTGACTGATTTATCTGAGTGCCATGCTTCCAGGAATGCCCCACCGTTTCTGGATTGAGATTGATTTAGGGTGTTCATAGTTTCCCAGCTGAAATTATGGTTAGTTCAGTCCATGTGTTCTAAAATTAAGCAATTTTCATGATGTCTTCTGACAGTTAGTTGCTAGGTGGTGTTCACGGATGTGCTGCAGGAGTGAAATTCGGCAGGTTCTAACAGGTTCTGGAGAACCGGTAGTGGAAATTTTGAGTAGTTCAGAGAACCAGTAAATACCACCTCTGACTGGTTCCAGAATGGGGTGAGAATGGAGATTTTGCAATATCCTTCCCCCAGAAGTAGGGAGGAAATGGAGATTTTGCAGTAACCTTCCCCTGCCACACGAACTGGTAGTAAAAAAATTAATGAATTTCACCACTGATGTGCTGTACTGGTCTTCTCTCTGTTTGTCCTATATAGGAGCTGTTACAGTGTTTAGATAATTTGTATTTTTCTTCTTGGGCTAATGGGTCTTTTGATTTAACTTAAGATATTTTAGAGAGCTTTAGGTGGTTTGGATGACCAGAATTCTCTTTCTAATACTGATAGGGCAAGATACCAAATATAAATAGATAGCAAACCCCACTCCCTTCTGTCACTGAAGATGCAATCCAGTCTAATAACAAAATGTCTGCAAACAAACAATCAAACTCAGAGAACATCAAGGACTCTACAGTTCACACTGAGATGCAGTTATTCGCTTCTCATTAAGAGTGTGTAATTTGCAATGCACTGGAAAGTGTAATTGATATTATCTTATGAGCTGAGTCAAAAAGTGATGAGCACAATGTCACCAACCTGGGACAATTGTATCTAGAGAAATGACTCTAATGTTGCTTATGGTCTAGGCAACATGAATAACATTTGGGTTTTCCCAATTTCCACAGGAGAATGGATACCCATGCAAAACTGTTTATGTCTATGCTGGGTGACACAGCTATATATAGTTCTTTCCTTTGCTATTATACATACATGTGGAAACATCTGTTGCAGAACTACAGATCTATGCATTTTTTTTGCTTATAGGCTTTATTGTACCATAAATCCTGTGGTGGTGGTGGGGTAAATACAATTTGGAACAGAGAAATGCATTGTTTCAGTTATGTTTACTGTTTATCTGCAGTATTTAAAGCATAGTTGTGATGCTTACAAAAACAAAAGCAACATATATAATTTTCAACTCACTACTGTAAAAGGTCAATGAAAAAATCCTGACAGTTGTAGTTACTGTTGACTGCACACCAAATATAACCATGGGATTTTAAACTTTGACATGGAGGTCGCTTTTTCTCAGAAGACAAAGAAATGTATCAATTTTATCTTTGGTGCAGATGAATAATGTGACAACAGAGTATTGTTTAGACATCATAAGAAAATTCGAGGTTTCAGAAGAAAACAAGAACCAGAATGTCCTGGGAATAGAAGGTAATATATTTTAGCATTTCAGTTCTTTTGGATGCTATTTTTTCATTGCTATTATGGAGCAAAGCTTTTAGAGCAATTTCTTCATTGAGACTTAATATAGTCTTCTGCAATACCGACATTCTAGGAATTCGTTAGATTTCAGCTCCCATCATGCTGATCACTCTTGTCCATGTAGCGGGTGACTGCAGAGATTGTACTTCGAAAACATGAAGAGCGCTGCCTAGAAAAAGATTAGATTAATATGTCAGTATGTAAATGAGAGGTCAGTCTATTAGCATTTTAATTAATGATGGAAAACATAAATGAGACTGAATAATGCAGAATGTGATGCTGTTATGAGACAGAGTTTGTTTTCCATTGAAATTCATTTCTATTCTTACTCTTTAGAATGGTAGATTTAGATTTAATTAGAAACAAGGAGAGAAAACAATGTAAGTGACTGCTGGTTGAAGTAGTATTTAAGCAGAACAAAAAGGGCTATAATTAATTTTCTCTATTTCAAGACTTAACATAAAAAAATGAACAATGCCAGTGTCTGCCAGATGGAGAAAATAGGCTTTAATTTACATAGTATCAGTTCAAATTAAGGTTGTCTTGAGCTCAATATCTATAGCCTTGCAAAAGTCACTTTCTGTCAACCTCCACTTCCTAGCTTTTAAACTAGAATTATAGTATCCAAACATTATAAAGGTTACTTTGCACTGAAAGCTACAAAGCAGTCTACAAATAACAAATGCTATCGTTTATAATTTTGCCTTCTTTAAATAAATGGAAAATAATAGAAGTGAGCTGTTCTCACATTAGTTAGTGAACAGGCTTAGAAATTATACAAGAAATATTGACCTGGTGAATCTAGAAATGGAGAAGTGGCTCCAATAAGTTGAAGAAAGTTTTTTAACAGCAATTCATATTAGGGTGTCTGTTTGGAATGAAACATGTTAGTTACCTGTTTCTTGAAAATATCCTATCTCAAGTTCACTTCCCCCAGGATTTAAATTGACAGGCTGACATATAGATTTAGCAGTGGTCTGAAATATTCTCCCTCATGTTTAGAGTTGTAGCATTCCTTTTCGTGTTGAAGGCACCATGTAAGGCGCTTCCAGTTTGAAAGAATTAGCCAATGACGTCACTGTGGCCAGGGAGACACCTGTAGAGTCTCCTTTCAAGGAGCTGGAGAAAATGATGGGAGCTCACCCCACCATGCAGTAGCACTCAAGTCTTGAACTCAGATTTGCTAACCTGCAACCCAGCGTCCTAACCACCAGACTCCAGCTGTAGCATTGAACCTGAGGGAGAAAAAAAAATACAGACTAAAGCTTGTTGGTAGTTTTGAATATGAGCTTGCTGAGAATAAATTTGGATGAGAAAAGTCTCATCCCAATTTACTCTCAACAAGCTCATATTCAAGACTACCACCAAACCTTAGTCTGTATTGAACCTTTAGAGAAGCAGTTTCAAATAATTCTCAGGAAACATTTTCTGAAATAGAGAAGGATGGTCCAGGAATTATTTCTTGCAGAATCAGGAGTGCTTCATTTCAGTATTATCTGAAGCAATCACGGTAACAGTCCTATGATTGAGCAACATATTTTGAGATTTACACAAATTATTAGTTACGCTGTAATTAAAAAAAAAACCCAAGTTAGAATACTGCGTATTTTGTGGTGGATTTAAAGGAATGTCAATAACATCAAAATATCTCAGGCTGGCCAGCAATGCCTGTAGCAAGTAAAAAAAAATGATGACATGATGCAGTCCTGTCCTTTCCAACTTGCATCATTGCATCCGACATAAGAAAGTAGGTCACAGGTTTACCTAATAATACACATTCCATCCCATTTCTCTTGCTTCATGCAGCTGATCTTGAAGGGTATTCCTTTTGAACATATTTAATTAAATTATTTAATTTTCTGTTCATCCAATTTTGTAAAGGCCAAACACAAACAAAATGTTCATGGGTGTACCTGCCACCTGGCTTGGAAATTACTTGGCTAATAAGATGCTGCCTATACCCATGTTGGCTTCCTAATTCAAACATTTAGATTATTATAAGTGAAAGAGTTTGGATTGACTGCTTGGTTAGTATGTAGACGCAGTCATTTTAAAGAGCTCATTAGTAATTCATCTTGTTATGGGGATAAAGATCAGCAGTTTAACATTGTTAAACTCAACATTGCTTTAAGCAGCATTAGGCTGCAGTAAAACAAGTTTCTAAAAGATGGAAATTAATTTTGAGGGCAGTTGAGTAAGTTACCATAGTAAGGATGATGACCTGTTTCTGTGGCATGAATGGATCAGTGAATGAATGAATAAAATATATGGATGGATGGATGGATAGATGGATGGAACTAGGCAGTGTGGGCCATCTTGCCTGAAACTGCACATCAAAATTGACAAAACAAAGCTCTCCAGGGTCTTTGTGAAACTTTTCTTTTTTCTTTTCATCACAAACATCCTTTCTGGTAGGCTGGAGAAAACAATCTGAAAAGAAGGTTAATATATAAGCTTAAGCATTTTGGAACCTCCAAAGCCTTACTGATTTTTTTCTTTTGTTGCTCTACTCAAGTATCTCCTTGTGTTCTTATTTTCCATTAAAAAAGACCAAAACTAATATTCTATGTGACTAGAATAATTTCTATACTCAGTTTGAACTGGAAATTTTTTTTAAAAAAAAAACCTGCACAGTCTTTTGTTCTTGTTGTCATTTTAAATTAGTTTTGTATGCCATCTGTGTAACATTACTATGTTCATGATGAGCCAGCTTATATTTCAATGTTAAGGGACCAGGACATTTGGGGTTTGAAATGTTTTAATTAAAAATTATTTCTTCAAAGAGATTTGCTACTCCTTGTAATTGAAGGGAATATTTCATCATGTGACCCTTTGTGCAAGAAGGGCTGTCCCTCAATGATGAAATGAATAGGACATGAATGGGAACAGAAGAGAAGTGAGCAATATTCAAATCTGAAGTGATCTCCCTTTCTATATCTGCCAGTTATGCAGAAAGGAAATACGGCTTTTCTTAAGGTTGTATGGAGACATTGTGGGTTCTGGGAAAAAATGGATCTGATTAAAGGAGATGCTACCACATTGGTTATGGCGCAGTTGTGTTGCACGATCCTGTCACCTGCCACTTCAATGGCTGCTTTACTCAATTGTATTATATTTCTGATCTTGAATGACTAGTAAGAGACCCATTAAAAGGGATATCTCCTTTAAGAAACTACTAACAGCTACAGAAAGCATTGGATCCAAAACATTTCCATCTGCTTTGGATGTATTGCCTGCTTTTAGAATGGAACAACCAACGTATACCTCAGATCAAAAGTCATAATGTATGACACTTGCCACAGTTGGGCTGTGTTTTCTAAATCCTTGAAATGCTGTCAAATAAATTCCAAAAATAGATAAAACAGCCATTGCTTTTGCCTTCTAAGATTCAGGTCTTAACAGACCATAGACAAGACAAGGAAAGCACTTCAGCATTGAATATGCTTTGGATGAATTGGGATGTGTATCTAAAATCTCAGTTTTGGCTTACTTACTTATGGAATGGAAGTGATTAGTGACTTATGATTATGCATCAAAATGTATTAAAGCAAGAGATCTCAATGGTAACCATTTGGAGAATGCTAGAATGACATTTGAAAGAAAGTATCTGAGTGATGATTCTTGAACAGTTTCTATTTTATGGTGTTATTCCTTTCATGAATGACCTAAATTATTGCACATAATGTACAACTTTTCAATATTTTGCTATTTTTTAAAATAATTTTATAGGCTTCACCAATTTTATGTGCAGTCCGGCCTGTGATGTGTTCAATCCACTGCACAGCGAGGTACATCAGGATATGGAGCAACCTCTTTGCAACTATTTTATTGCTTCTTCCCACAACACATATCTAACTGGAGACCAGCTTCTGTCTCAGTCTAAAGTAGAGATGTATGCCCGAGTCTTACAAGATGGCTGCCGATGTCTTGAAGGTGTATTCTTTATTTCACTTGGTGGTATATTGCTGTGGAGTTTCCACTATTACAATGAATATGTAACATTAGATCCTTCCAGACAGGTATTCCATATATGTGCATACATGTCCATTTACTCTGTTCTAGTCCTACAAAATATTTAAAACAGAATATGACCAAATGCTAGTAACTTATGCTTCTGTATAAATAAACCCAGTGGCTCAGTGGCTAAGACACTGAGCTTGTTGATCAGAAAGGTCGGTCGAACTGCGGTTCAAATCCCTAGCACCGTGTAATGGAGTAAGCTCCCATTATTTGTCCCAGCTTCTGCCAACCTAACAGTTCAAAAGCATGTAAGAAAGCAAGTAGAAAAATAGGGACCACCTTGGTGGGAAGGTAATAGTGTTCTGTGTGCCTTCAGCATTTAGTCATGCCGGCCACATGACCATGGAGACCCCTTCGGATAGCGTTGGCTCTTTGGCTTTGAAATGGAGACGAGCACCACTCCCTACAGTCGGGAACGACTAGCACATATGTGCGAGAGGAACCTTTACTTTTACCTATAAATAAATATTTCAGAATACAGCACAAAAAGTAATACTTTGATATACACAGCTATAAATAGAAGGTTGGGTAGTATTCTCACTTGTACATTCTGATGTACTTTCCTTTCCAGCAAAACTGTTGCTGTTATTGTGTGATAATAATAGCTTGTCAGTTTTAATCATTTGCCAGCATGAGCTTTATAGATTATGAAAGATGAGACTTGATGCATATAATAAGAGAATGTCCACTTGTTGAATAGCATCTTCAAATGCCAAATATATGCTTGGGGCATTGATCTCCTTTCAGCCTGTTTACGTGGAAGGGAAAGTATCAGCAAAATATTCATTTAACATAATAATGTTCTTGTCTTGATAGTTGATTGCTGGGATGGCCCAGATGGAGAACCAGTTGTGCATCATGGTTACACCCTTACTTCCAAAATACCTTTTAAAGATGTAATAGATGTAATAAACAAAAATGCCTTTACTAAGAATGAGTAAGTACAGTACATTCAGTATGCAAACAATACCTTCTGATTTGTGTATTTTATGCAATATCGCAATCAATTAAAAGAGAGATGTGCAAATCTCTTCTCATTACTATGTTTGTAACTAATATGTTAATATATGTGTTTAATTGATAACAGATTTCTTTCTTCAAACGTAAAGCAAATTTTATTTCTCAATCGTATTTTAATAACAGAGTGTCCAATTTACTGTGTTGTAAGGTTTGCAAAGCGAATCTGTATATTTTTTGTAGGAAATGTCTTTGTATTTAAAGGGATTTATTTTTCAAGGATAAATGACTTGAAGATGTAGGGTAGGTTAGTATTTTTCAAACAGAGGTTCTCTTAATGTTTTAATTATGGTTTCCAGAATTCTAGATATGATGCTGGCCTGTGTAGTTTATTGGGGTAGTGATGGCTTCCTCCAGTATCTCATAACCAGTCTTTGCCATCACTTTTTTCCTAAGATGGAAGTAAAGAACCACCAAATTCACTTTGCCTCCTGTTGACTTCATGAACACAACCATGCAATTTTCTTGATAACTGTATAGTAGTGCCATGCCTTCTTCCAAGATGTTTTTCAACTTTCCAATCTTGTCTATTGCTATCTTATTCCTTGATGGTTTCCCTTCCAGATACTAGCCGGCACGATCCTGCTTAGATTTCAAGTTAAAACATTATCAATTAACTGCTGAAACAGTTCTGCTATCTTAAGACATTTTTTTCCCACAGTACTGTTGTCAGTGTCAATTTAATAATATAGATAACCTTCAACCTATGATTGCAACTAAGCCCTATATTCTGTTGCTAAGCGAAATAGTTGTTAAGTGAGTTTTGCCCCATTTTATGATCTTTTGTGCCACAGTTGTTAAGTAAATCACTGCAGTTACCATATTAAGATAGTAACATGGTTGCAAAAGTGATCACATGACCCTGGGAACCTACAACTGGCATAATTACATGAAGGTTGCCCAGGGTCTGAATTTTAATCCCATGACCACGGGGAGGCTGCAGTGGTCGTAAGTGCAAAAATGTCATGAGAAACTTTGATCAGTGCTATTGTAACTTCAAAGGAGTCACTAAACAAATGGTTGTAAGTCCAGGAGTAATTGAAATGAAGGCAGATGGAGACGAATATGGAACTATGTACTGCTTCCTCTCTTCCTATATTATCCATGATTATCAAACATGATTTTAATAAAAAATGAAATGACTGATGCCAAATCTCTGCTCGGTGCACTTATTCAAATTCAAGTATCGCAGACAGAGGATGGTTTAGCCCAGTGATGGTGAATCTATGACATGCAGAGCCCTCTCTGCAGGCATGTGAGCCATCGCCTAGCTCAGCTCCACCATGCATGCATGCATGCCTCCCGCCAGCCAGCTGATTTTTGGGTCTCTGCCAAGCATGTGGGAGATGCAAGTCTATGTGCAGGAAAGGCGGGGGGGGGTTGTTACATGTGCATGCATGGGAGACGGGGGAGAGTGCGGTGTGCAGCCCCCCCCTTTTGGTCCTGGGAGGCCTCCTAGGCCAATTTTTTGGTCCCAGGAGGCTGCAGGGAGGCCTGCTACGCTCAAAACGGGGCGCAGTGGTGGTGGTGTCGTGCACGCACAGCATAATGGGTGTGGGCCCACATGCCCGCACTGCCGTGCGCACACGCACACTTTCAGCAGGTGAGGACAAAAAGGTTAGCCATCACTGTTTTAGCCATCACTGAGCCTACTCAGTCAAGAAGAAAAAACTACATTTTGCGCTAATTAGTTACGCTCTTATAGTTAGGGAGTTTTTCTATCTAATTGGAATCTGCTTTAGTGAAATCCATTATTCCTTGTCCTGCAGTATGGAAGGTAAAGAGAAGAAATCTTGATCTTCGGTATGACATTCTTTTAGAAATTTGACAAATCTATATAGTTCCCTGGATCTTTCATCTTAATTTTTGAAGATGGGGAAGATACAGTATGTCTTCTTCAAGTCATCTGGCACTACCACTACTCCAGAATTTTTCAGAACTAATATATAAAAGTTTTGCTAATCATTTATTAAATTTTTGCTAGTTCTTTATTAAAATGTCTTCAGTATCAAAGGATGTAACTCATCGTCGTCCTGAAATTTAAATTAATTCTAAATAAATATACATTATTTCACAACATGTACCCATTAGTATCTTTCTGTCCTCAGTGAACAACTGGTGGATTGATTGTTTTCTTTTGTGAACTCCATACTCATAGAAGTTAAAAAATAGTGTTGCCCTGCAGTGGTTTCAATGTTTTCAAAATATGATTTCCCTCTCATTTTTAGGTTTCCGATTATATTGTCTATTGAAAATCACTGTAATGTTGAGCAGCAAAAGAAAATTGCCCAGTACCTCAAGGAGATTTTTGGTGACAAGCTAGATTTGACTTCTGTGAACATCGGGGATCTCAAGCAACTTCCAAGTCCTCAGAGTTTGAAGGGCAAAATCCTAGTCAAGGTAAACAGTTACGAAGAGTGGTCTTCTGAAAAGCTGTAATTTCAATCTTATATCTAGCTTGGTTTTTCTTTTCAAATTCTATCTACAGATGAGATGTCTCCTCCAGAATTGTGTTCCGTGTGTAGGGATGTATGTGTGTGATATTAAATAACTGGATGTTAAAATGGAAGTGATCATGGGGTTCTTCTGTTAACTGGAAGACCCAAATAGTGTCGGTAAAATGTTGAGGATCATTCTCAAAAGTTAGCAATACCATGGTCTATTTTGAGAGGGTTTTAAGGAGCAAACCATAAGTATATGCAAGTCTACAGATATTAATTTAGGAGACTCTTAAAACTCCAGCCCTGAGAAAGAAAAAGAAAGAATGGATTGACACTTTTAACCCATTCCTTATTTGGAGACCTCCAAAGGGGTGGCATGAGAATGATATTGAAGTATGGCCCCAGTCTGTACATTTTATATCGATGATTGAGTTCAATATCCTTTGTCTGTTATACATAGGAAACTGTTCTGTCCCCCCTTCTCTGCTCGTTAAACAGACGACATGCAAACAACTTAAAAGGAACTCTCTTTATCAGCTCTCGGCTCAGACTGGCTGAGAGCCCAAAAATAACATAAATACAGTCTCTGACGAGATAACAGAATACCAAACAAAAGCTCTTAGAAGGCAATGCACTTCTCCAAGTGTATCCTTGAATCAGGGTTACAGAAAACAAAGCACTTCTTCAAGTGTATCTTACATAAACCACAACTGCTGATCAATCAATGTTGAACAAACCAAGGAACGTTGACTCCTGCAACTAGGGCTTGGCACCATCCGTCCTTTTATCCCCAGAGTATGCCCATAACGAGTCCCAGCTGCATAATTAATCTTGCATCCCGAAAAGACTCACAGAAGACTGCTGCTGAGTCACAACAGGAAACAGGTATACATATTCTGCTGAATATCTCTATTGAAGGAGAGTCCATCACCACTCAATGTAATTTATCTCTCTGTTGAATAAGTTATATGACCAAACATTTCCCAGAGTTTAGTTTAAAAAAGCTCTGCTTCCTTATAATTTCCTTTTTATATTCTATTTCTGCTCTTCAAAACATTACACAATAGATCTTTCTTTCCTGTAGGTAAAACAGAAGACACAAGTAGATAAAAGACTTCCAGATATTTGAAGCTAGCTGTTAACGCTTAATTACTTCATTAATAATATTTCATGAAGTCCTCTTATCTCCAGATTAATACTTTTATTTATTAGGTAAAGTTGAATTGCCAGTGCATCAGATCCCCAACATGAATGTTTTTGACAACATTTAATCAAAGTGTTTATTCAAAATAAGAGCATTTTTGTATCTTTTAATAGAGCATTTGGGATGCATAGAATAGATTGGTTATTATTTATATTTGAATATATTTAATTTATATACAGTATGAAATCATGATTGTGTCAGGGTTCCAAGTAACACCCCCAATGAAAGAAAACTTGGAAGCTTGAGTTTCCTCAAAGTTCCATTTTATTAGAGATGTCCTATTGGCACATCTGGGAAAATCTGAATCTGAAAGCTTCCAGGTTTTCCCACCCAGTTGAAAGTTCAAGACCCTGCCCCAACACCCACAAGTTCATCACATGGTTCAATCATTCATTGCCACAAAGAAAGATTTCTCCCATCCACATCTGTCCAGGTGCAGGGACAAAGCAACCTTGACTTTCTGAGAAAGAATATTATTATGGCTACACATCACCCATACTCTGTATAATCCCACCCCCATTTTCCCACAGTAGAAAGTGTAGCAGGTCTGAAATCCAAAAGGTAAAAGATGGGTCTGACAGATTGACGACAATGGTCAATGCATCTAACCACTGGGAAAAAAAACAGTAAAGATTTGCCCATTTTTCTAGGCTACCTGTAGCTTCCTTGTTTGGATCTTAGATGAACCATTTAGCAACATCCTTGTAGCAGCCTTCTCCAACCTGCAAATGTGGATGCTTCAGCTTCCAGAATTCTCAACATCCTTTTGGAATTTTGGGCAAAAAAACGCCATTCTTTTTTAAGATACCCAAACTAGGGAAAACTCTGATGGAAAGCAGAACCACCACACTGGTCACTCTTTATCTTTTGCGGAAGAGAGTTTTGTATTGCTTTTGAATTCCATCTTTTGAGAGTGTGCTATCTATATCCGATGACTGCCCTTTGATACTTCTAAAGAAGAGACTTTAGTGGGGTGCACACTACCTCAGTGAACCCAAAGCCAAATCTGTGCTTCCTAAATGCGTCTTTCATTTGACTAGATCCGTGATGGCAAATCTATGGCACGCGAGCCATTTGTCATGCAAGGCACGTAAGGCATGTGTGTGCTGGCCAGCTGACCGGCCTTCTTTTGAGGCCATTTTTCACCCTCCAGAGGCTTAGCGCAAAAAACCTGGCCCTATGGGCAAATCAGAAGTTTGGGAACAGACTTCCAGTTTGCTCGTAGGGCCGGTTTTAGCCCTCTGGAGCATTCAGGAGCCCTCAGAAGGCTTCTCTGAAGGCTCCGGAGGGAAAAAACCGACACTACGAGGAAACTGGAAGTCACTTCTGGGTTGCTCATAGGGCCGGTTTTAGCCCTCTGGAGCCTTCAGGGGCCTTCAGGAGGCTTCCCTGAAGGCTCCAGAGGACGAAAAACAGCCCTACAAACAAACTGAAAGGGTGGGGCAGGGGAGGCTGTTTTCGCCCTGCCCAGGCTCCTATGAAGTCTCTGGAGCCTGGGGAGGATGAAAAAAGCACACCAAAAATGGGGGAGCGCTTGTCATGCGTGCATGCGCGCTGTGGTCATGCTCATAGCATGGGTGTGGCACACCCGCACACAACCCCCCTGCACTCTCCCTGCTTTTGGCACGTGAGCCAAAAAAGGTTCGCCATCACTGGTGCATTTCTATTTCATGTGATTCTGCTTAGTACAAAGGCTATTGCAGTGCTGATAAAAAGATGACATGAAATACATAAATAAGGTGACAGTGTCTTCTGTAGAACAGTACGTTTTTATTGGAATTTGGAACTAATCAAAATTGGATGAGTCATATCAGCGCACCTTGTAACAAGCAGGTTTAATTTCCTGAAGATCAATCTCAGTCATACTTTTTATTAACAAAATGCTTTGCCAAATCTCAGTTAATCAGCTCCTGCAAGTAACACACTACTACCCCTAAATAACATTACTAGGTTTGCAAGCTACATGTACCAACTGCTTTTTAAAGTAGCCATAACTGCTTCTCTGATGGGAAAGGACACTTAAATCCATCATTGTGCAGTTATGAAGACAAAAGCTTGATAACGAAAAATGAAATAATTAAGAGTTCTGGCACATAATTTTCAGTTAGTCATTTATTTGTCTCAAATAGCTTATAATACAAATGATATTATGCATATGGAGATACTTAGTGTAATTTATTGTTCCCTCATTGTTTTGTTTTATATGATTGATTGATTTCTAGCATGTTTGAGTAATATATTCCTTGTTAGAATATCTAATTAAGTTTCTTGGGGTAGCATTTAAAGAGAACAATAAAAGTGCAGCACAATATAAAAAATGTAGCTGAGATCATAGTTGGATGCGGTTATGTAGGCCACCAAATTTAACTCCCTGCTCAGTATAGGAATCAATAATAAATGAGCATAGTTTAAACTGACACCATACACATGTGGCTTAAAACTTTTAGCATCCCCCAATGTCAGAAGTCTTTCACAGTGACTAGTTTTGGGTGTTGGTCTGAGGAGTCATTTAAAAATCTGGGAAAATAATAAACTTTTACCCTGCCGCTGAAAAGATTATAAACTATAGTAGGTATGCATTTCTATGATAGGAGCCATTCTGCAAATGTGCCATTAATGAAAATGTAACTCTTTCTATGCACATGGCAAATGTTTCTCTAAAGAAGTGTGCAGAAAGTGATTTAACAGATTTAACAGAATAACAGAGTTGGGAGGGACCTTGGTGATCTTCTAGTCCAACTCCCTGTCCAAGCAGGAAACCCTATACCATTTCAGACAATGCCATTTCTTAAAAACCTTCTGTGTTGGAGTACCCACAATTTCTGGAGGCAAGTTTTCCCACTGATTAATTGTTCTGATTTTTCAGAGCAATCTGAAGATCCAGATACGTGTGTATAGGAGCCTTTGAAGCCATATTAAAATAGTAACAGTATGAGATTTTCCCAGGAATGGAGTAGTAGTTGTCGATAACATTTAGCCATTTAATTTCATTTAGCAGCTTTGGTGCTCTATTACATGGGTGTCAAACTCGATTACATCACGTGACGTCACGTGACGTCACATAACCTATTGTGATTTTTTTGCCTTTGCGGAGCCAGGGTGGGCGTGGCCTGTGTGTGATGCATCCAACCCGCTGGCTGCCAGTTTGACACCCCTGCTCTATTACAGTTTTCTGGTGATTACAATATATAATTTTTCTGCCTTATGCTTAAACTGTTTCAATAGGTGGCAGTATCTCCCCAATGGCAGTATCAGTTATATTCTTAAAAGTTAATTTATCAGCCTTGGCAGTTAAGTAGGGCTTTAGATATGAAATTTCGGTGCAATTTCAATTGCAGAGAAGTTGAACCATGCCAGGAGAAGGCATTGACAGAATGATTGGATTCAGGCAATCATTAGGAATTGAACTTAAGGGAGCCTTTGACTTTTATATATGAACTGGGTGGAAGTGGTTTATCTACATTCTGGCAAAAAAGTTTTGGAACAGCTGTTTATTACTCACCCTGAGATGTTACTCATCCTGTCACTTTGCGAGCAGTAAGCCAAATAGAGGCTGATTAGAACACACGTGTCTAACAGATTATTTTCCTGCTCATTCATGCTGTTAAAAAAGAATCATTTTCATCCAATTTTTCATTTAGACAAGTATGCCTTTCCGGTTTCTAATCCTGATAAGCGTATTTCCAAGACCGTATGTTTAGGAAGTTCTGAATTAAAATTTTTGAATGAAGGGTAGCCAAAGATTATATCTGTGAGGTTTGGCTTATGAAAGGATACTACAGTATGTGACTAATGTACCATTTGGAGCCATTTCGATGAAAGTGCAGAAGGCACTTTTAGCTAATGATGATTTCTTAGGTCACCTTTAAATCCCAGAGTAAAATGTGCTGCAAATCACCAGTCTGTTACAGGGAGCTACATGGTCTGTGCACCACTTTAATGGTCCTTTTTTTTCTTGCCTATATGGGCTGTCAGAGGCCACTGCTTGCCTTTTATATCTTCAGTATTAACCTTAACCTCCTTATAGCACAGAACAAAAAAGCCCAACAAAGATTAGTAGGAAATAGCCACCAGTCCTTTTATCAAAAGACAAGCAGTTACAAAGGGCTGTTCAGGGAGGATCAGGTTATGGCAGTAGAAAAGGATTTTCTGAAGAGCTAAGCTCTCCATGAATTTACTTCTTAAAGGCTTTCTTACTCTTGTCGGCTGTTAAATCCTGACATCCTTTTCAATAACTCTGTCAACTGTGCAAAAGAGATATGGGGAGTCTAGAACTATAAACCCAGGCTATATTATAGTTTTATCATTATGCCTGTCATGAGTTCTTTTCAACAAGATCCAGCTTGGTGGCTCAAATCACAAAACAGCCAATAACCGCACAGGTTCCTAAACAACACCCACAAGACAAGACTCATGTACTCACACTGTTACTTACTACTCATTCTTTGACACTCTTCCCCACTGCTACGTTACTCTAGCTGCTGCTACTCCAACTACTTTAAATTCAACTGCTTTGACTTTAAACCCTTACCATAGTGTCTTCTACCACCATGATTGCTTTGTTTCTCTCTGCCTATACCCGTTTTAACCAATGGGACCATCTCAGTCTGCCTAAACACATTAGTGTTGTGGTCCACTGGTGGCCTGCAGAGCTGGCAGCAGAATCGGCCAGTGAGGAGGTTGAGGGGGAACATGGGTCAGTTCTGGAGTCTGGGGAAGGCTCGGATGAGGGCTATGCATCACAGGCAGAGAGGAGGGCCCAGGGCCATCTGATGCTGCCTACAGAACCTCCAAAGTCAGACATCAGCGAGGCAGAGGAACAGGGATAGCATGTTCCCAGTGTGTGCATGCGCAGAGCTGCCAGAAGTTAAGACAAAAGGGACAACTCGAGAATAAGGCTTGGAGATTATTGGCCCCTCTCATAAGACATAAAGGAGGAGAAAAGGCATGTGAGCTTTTGCAGGAAACAACTTTGTTCATGCTGGTTGGTTTAAATTCTGAAGCTCCACTTTGACTCTGTGCTCCATGTGGCCTTGCAAAGCTAATTGCCAATTAGATCTTTGGCAGCATTTCAAGAGAGATAAAGGTGGGTGCTTATCAACCTTATCCCGAAAGACTTTGGCAGACTTTTGTCAGAGTCTTTATAAACTAGTTGTGACTCATTACAGGCTGAATGAACATAATTCACAGCCGGTGAAATAAAAAGAGAGTTTTTGGGACTAAGTGTGTGCTTTTTACTGTCTCAGGAAGCCTAGATCAGAACAATTAACTTCCTTTTTCCATTAAATGAGGACATACAGTACTAACACCTGTCTGTTCAGTATAGCTGATACACTTCAGAAATCTCCAGTACATGTGACTTGATGTACTCTCATCAGTCCTGTTTTAATGGGGTTTCCAGACTTTTATTAAATTAATGTGTTATAAAATGTAGCGCAACCATTTGATCGAAAATTAAACCACTTGTTGCCTTAACCAACAAATATTAAGAAACTATGATTAAACAAGACTCTATGAAGAGGAGCTCATGAAGAGAGATCTATATTACAGATACAGAAGAGATGTAGGAATAGTCTTGAGTTACATTATATTTAAAGTTGCTTCATTCACAGAGCACTTTAGAGCTCTGGAAATTTCCTTTTATTGACTTGGTTCCCAGCCCAAGATTGATTACGGCTTTTCAGGGCTTTAGACAGTTATATTTTTTCTTATTTATGGGATTGATTTATCACAGTTGGGTTGAACGTTAGGCTGTGCACTGTATCCAAATCAGCAACTGCTACTAAATTAGCAAAACAAAGTATAGAAATTATGATAATACATCTAGAAGTGTATAAAATTATGTGCCTGAGCAATGAGAGATATACTTTTTCAAATGTGTCAGCTTGTTCTTTAATGAACAAGCTAATTACTAATTAGAAAGTTTTTTAAAAATAGGATTAGATAAATTAATGGAAGATAACAGGTTGTTTGTCATTAACCGCTATATATTGAATTCAGACTATGAAAACTAGTTAGAGGGGGACATATTATATTCATCTTTTGCTGGTGAATTTCCCAGGAGGCATCTGGCTGGAATACATCCCTGGATCGGATCTATTTTTGGTCCAATTCAACAAGTCTATTGTTAAGCATGCAAGTATGTGATATCCCATGCTCAGTTAGAGGTCCTAGAAACAGCTGTTGTATAGGCCATGGAGAATATGTAACTTGGCTTTAGATGGGAACAGATTCTGAAAAAGTGATTGAGAAACTAACATGGACAAAAGGTAGTATCTTCAGTCACTTAAAGCTATGCTCTGGGTCAAAATTATTAAGTGTCTCAATCTCAATCTTACATGGAAAAAGACCTAAATACAACATTACCAGCGTATGTATGTATGTATGTATGTATGTATGTATGTATGTATGTATGTATGTATGTATATCTCAGACTGCCACACAAAGCAAACTGACACATACCACGAACACATGGCTACACCGCAACCTCGGAGACAAACCAAAGCCCGGGATGTTACACCACAGCCATCTGTGCAGGACATTACATCACAGAACTCACGAGGTTACAACACAAAGGCTCAGGATGTTACAACGCAGCCAACCTCCCAGGAGGTTGCAGCACAGGACTCAGGATATCATTACAATAGAGCTCAGGATGTCATCACACAGCCCATTACCCATGTCGTTACAACAAAAAAGGACAATAGGCACACAGCCACTCAGGTTGTTACGAAACAGCCGACTAATCTGCAAACATCAACTCCATCAACTAATCAAGATGTTACAACATAGCCAACCAATCCCCTTAGAGCAACAAAGCCAGCACTCCACACCCAAACACCAATATTTATAGAAAGACAGCAGCTCTGATCACGCTTTGCTCGAACAAGCATGAAGCCAAAGGCACCAGCTGAAGATGGCGAGTGGGACCTCGTCAAAACGTCGCCAAGATACTCTGAATCTTACATGGGAAAAGACCCGAATACGCCAAGACCTGCATATATATATATGTGTGTGTGTGTCTGTGTGTGTGTATCAGAAAATGTGAAGGGTCTGTTTATTTTAATTTAGATAACAGAGAGTAGGAGAACATTGACAAATTCATTAATTAAAAGCTACTGGAATAAAACTGCATATTTTTACCTGCTCTCATAATTTTTTAAGTAATAATTTCATATGATGCTACTGTACTTATCATTAGATCTACTTAGATTTCTAATGTACATTTATCGGAAGCTATTTTTTTTTTTTGCTGAACAAGTAAGAGTTGAATTCCTTATCAGAAAAGCAATTGTTTTTTTTTAAATGTATTATTTTCATTTTCAGGGTAAAAAACTCCCATATAGTCTTGGTGCAGATGCTGAAGAAGGAGAGGTTTCTGATGAAGACAGCGCTGATGAAATTGAAGATGACTGCAAGTTAAATTTTTCTTATGTAAGTCCATATAATAGATCTGGTACAAGGGTGTCAAACTCACGTCGTCACAGCGGCATCACATGATGTATCGAAACTTTTTTCTACTTTGCTAAACGGGGCATCAGTGTGGCCAGCCTGTGATGCATCTGGCCTGCAGGCTGGGAGTTTGACAGCCATAATCTAGTATATTTTCGGATGGAGGCTTAAATCTAGATTTTCCAACACTGCCTTAATAGTGATGTAATGCTCCTATTCTCCCTTAACGTATAGCATATAAAGTAGGTGTGGCCAGAACCAAAGTTCACTTTAACTTAATGAAGTGACTTTGAAGTTAGTGACTTCCTGGATAAGCCTTAGTAGGTGTGTGTGTGTGGTAGGTTTTTTTTTTTTTTTTGCAATAAGGTGACCTATAATTGCTTTTCTGGAATGCTTTCAACTTCACAGTCTATTCTACAGCTATAGGATTTCCTGTTGGTCTTTTATCCAAGTGGTCAGATCTGCTTGCACCAGATACCCTGATTAAAGTTATCTCCATTTCACAAACCCCAAGCAGACTTGTGAAGTAACCTATTTTTGGAAAAATAGGAAGCCAAACATTAAAAAAAGGCACCTCTGTCTAACAAAACCAAGAAATCCTGCTGTTTTTACAGAACAATTCCAAGATTTCAATCATAGATGTACGTTTTGTTTCTGCCTTTTTAAATTAACAGCTATGTGGCTACATCTCCCCTGTGGCCTTTGTTTTTTCTGCTATGAGAATCAGACGTGACCCATCAGACCTTCTGATCCTAGATAAAAGTCGCCAGGTGCTACCATCATTTGAAACTTGGTTTTAATTTACTGCAATTTTAATATAATTAACTTCAAAATTACAGGAATTAAATGCCATTAATATTATTACTTCATCATGAAAAATATGATACAGCAGCATGTTTGGGAGATGCTCCAGAAATATGTGAAACACTTATCCAAGAATCAGCGTATTTATTATTATTATTATTAATAAAAATAATTGCATGTAGAAGTGGCAAAAGAAAGCAAAGACAGTACCATGGGTGCAACCCCAAAACATCTGGAGTATCACTTGAACAGCCTCGGCCTTTGCAAAATCATCACCAGTCAATTGCAAAAGGCAGCTTTACTTGGAACTGTTTACATCCTGTGATAATATCTTTAACCCCATAAACCACAACATCTGCTTTTCTAAGATCCTTGAGAAGGATTTGATAGGTGGGTGAAATTGCCAAATTGAATCTGAACATCTTACTGACTGTGTGACCAACCACAATAATTCATGAAATACCTGTCATAAATATTATCAGAGTGCTGAATAATAAGCATAAGTATAAATTATACCACTGGGTAACTTATTTTTTTAAGCAACCTGTGCTGTCTTCCCCATCAAAATTTAAATTGTAAACCTCTTGAGGAAAAGGCATATCTTTGATAGAGCTATGTAAAATGTGGATATTTGATTTGATTTGATAAAATGGCGAAGTGCCCTTTGGTCAATGAAATCTAGATTAAATGAAGATGGATGCAGGCATGGACATATAAATGTATATTTTATTATCTACATTTGCATCTCTATCTCTGTCCTCATCCTACCCCAATTTCATAGTCCACAGTAAAATGAATCCATTTCTTGGATTTCTAATGTATACCTCAAGATAAAATTCTACTGAATACAATACAAGTCTAATTGCTCACATTGCTGTGAGCATTTATTTTCTATGTCTTTTCCTGTAACATTTTGGTTGAGCTGTGTGTTTCCAAACCATAAGAGGTTTGCAAATGTCATGTGTAGGTAAAGAGAAGCCTTAGTGTAGACAGGAGCTCTGCTTCTGAGAAAGCCCAATGGGAAGTGTTCTTTTATGAATGCCATTGTGTTAAGGAGATGGTAGGAAGATAGGAAGGCTGCAGACTGCTGGGGAGCCATTTGTACAGAGAAAGTCAAAAGAATTCATATTCTTCCCTTGGCCACCTTATAATAGAAGAAGTACAAGACTACCATCCTCTACCCTAAGAATTTCTCCAAAATTCTCTTTTCTTTGAAGAATGTCAAATTCTCTTTGATCAACTGGAGTGATAATTTATTGGGGAAACTTTAGTTTTTACTTGGTACTCATAAAAAGCCACTTGTGATAGATAGATTGCAGCATATTTAGATTATACCCAAAGGAAATAAAGGAAATGGTCAAGTAGTTTTTCTTTCTTTTATATCAGCAGCTGCTATCTCAGATATCCTGTATATGGACCAAAAAATTTAAATTATTTTCTTGCTCTAAGTTACTTCAAAAGAAAGGCAATAGAATGTATAAGAAATAATTGTTTAAATACGTTTCCCAACTCTATTTGCCTTTTGTTTTTTTTTACAAAAATCCGATTAACAATTTGTATTGCCGCGTATTGATCTCTTTCAGAGCAATGGCACAACAGACCATCAGATAGAGTCTTTTATAAGAAAAAAACTTGAATCCTTACTCAAAGAGTCTCAAATCAGAGACAAAGAAGACACTGATAGCTTCACTGTAAGGGCCCTTTTAAAAGCAACGCATGAGGGCTTAAATGTGAACTTTAAACCGGTAAGACATTTTTCTTACTCTTCTGGGAATATCTATTGCTGCTATTCTGACATATAGTTATAACTGATTGCAGAAATCACGTAAAAATGGCTGTTCTTTCATTCATCGTGTATTTATATGTATCCTGCCTTTTTATTTTTATAAATCACTCAACGTAGCAAACATATTCAAATCACCTTCCTCCTCCTATTTTCTCCAGAACAACAATCCTGTGAGATGAGTTGGGACTGTAACTGGCCCAAGGTCACCAACTGGCTTTCATGCTTAAGGCAGGATTACAATTCACAATCACCTACTTTCTAGTTTGGTGCCTTAGCCATTAGAACAAACTGCATACAAGAAATATGACTTTAAAAAGGAGAAGTGATCATTATTTCCACAAATAAAGAACTTTTGCTGCTAAAGAAAAACAAAATCAAAAGAGTTGGACTTCATTTCTTTTAACTGGACTGTTTGAGCAGAAGGTTGGACTTTGTTGTTGTTGTTAGTTGTGAAACCGGGTCTGACCCATCGCAACCTCATGAACAATGTTCCTTCAGGCCTTCCTGTTCTTTGCCATCCTCTGGAGTCCATTTAAGCTCACACTGTCTGCTTCGGTGACTCCATCCAGCCACCTCATTCTCTCTCATCCCCTTCTTCTTTTGCCCTCAATCTTTCCTAGCATTGGGCTCTTCTCCAGTGAGTCCTTCCTTCTCATTAGGTGGCCAAAGTATTTAAGTTTCATCTACAGGATCTGGCCTTCTAAAGAGCAGTCAGGGTTGATCTCCTCTAGGAACTAACTGGTTTGATAGCCTTGCAGTCCAAGGGACTTGCAGGAGTTTTCTCCAGCACCAGAGTTCAAAGGCCTCAATTCTTTGGCACGTAGCGTTCATTATGGTTCAAACTTCACAGCCATGCATTTCAACTGAGAAACAATAGCCTTGACTATATACACTTTTGTTGGCAGGGTGTTGTGTTCTCAGGTTGGACTAGATGACTTAAATCTATTATTCTATTTTTTATTTCCCAGAAACTGGAAGTTGCTTTAAAAAAAACACTTATTATTTTGAATACCAAAATGGTGAGCTTGTGTATTGTGCAAATGGCTATTTCATCTTTTTTGAAATCTTGAAAGCTTTATTTTGTTAGGTTATCTTAGCCATACCCATAGAAATGAAAATATGCAATATACATTAGTCAAAACTGTTTCATATTCATTTCATCAGCATCTTCTCAAAAGTTATGGAGCCCCACAACTTTAAGAGGCAGGCTGTTCCCTAATTTATGAGCTTTTAGGATTTTCCTTATTTCAACTTTGGATCGGTCACACTAAAGCTTCACCTACTGGTTCAAATGCTCTGGAGAATTCATCCACACCCCCTTTCTTGGTCTTTCAGTCAGTCAAAGTATTGTTGTTCTTTCAGTCAGTCAAAGTATTGTTGTTTCAGTGTGGATATATCCTTCAGTCACATGAATATGTGCTTTTCTCCTTTATACTCTTATTTTTATATGCTCGGTGCCACCTTGGAGTTTCCAAGTAGTGTGTGAAGAATGTAGGTGACTTGATGTATTATTAAAGATATTCCTACATTATATATGCACCCTAAACTGGAAATGAATATCTGCAATTAATGGTTAGCCTATAAATTTTGACTAAGACTAGAAAATGGGCAGGGAAAAATCGTTCCTTGTTTTGCACCAAAAAGTGAATGGATGTTTTATATGTCAGGCCACATGTTGTATAATGGAAACAACTTGCACTGTGAATAGCTGAGGGAATGTATCTCAGTGTCTTTTTCAGCTCTGTATGAATGCATGTTCTGACAGAAACACTGGATCCTGTCACATATCATCAAGCTGTTGACTCTAGGGAGTTTCTTTTGTATGAATCTCAGATGGGCTAGAACTATGACTCTGGTTCTGTTTTCTTGTCTTTCCTATTTATTTCAGAATGTCAAACGATAGGATTGGTCCTCCTGGGTAATATTTGGTTTGACTTCATTTAAGTGTCTGAGTACAAAACATGTTTTGGGAGCATTAGATTTCTGTAGGTATTTTATTTACTGAATGTATCTACAATTTACAAATATATAGAAAATTAAATAATATTTAGAATCTCTATTTCTGTGCATAATAATATAGTATATACTTGTTTATGCAATAAAATGAAGATTTGCTAGTACTAGTTATGACTACTATTGCTGTGCTCAATGTGGTTTGTTACACTATTTCTTTGCCTTGTGACTGAAAAGTTTAAGAATGCACAGTGTTCAGACAGTTGAAATCCTAGGGTAATCTAATATCTGCTAACAACTACTTTAAAATGATAAAATCTCATTTGGAATAAATAATATAATTCATAATATCTATTCAGAATATATATTCAGAAAGCTCTTGATGCTTTCTCCTTCCTCCTATAAATCTACTGTAAGCCTTGTTTTAAGGGATATGTGATTTGATCTACAATACCCAGCTAATAACTTTTGAGAAGATGCGGATGAAATGAATATGAAACAGTTTTGACTAATGTATATTACATATTTTCATTTCTATGGGCATGGCTAAGATAACTCAACAAAATAAAGCAACCAAGCATTGGCTTCTTAATGAGCTTATTAAGAAGGTATTATTAAGAGTCACACAACTGGAATTCAAGCTTGTGCCATCAATGAGACAATCAGAGATCAAAAACTCATCAAGGCAGAAAAACAATATCTTAAAGGAAAAATAACTAAAATTATTATTCATACAAGTAGATTAATGGGAACAACAGTTCTTCCCATTAATTCTATTCTATTCTAATCTTTGGGGATAGGAAAAATATTTAGAAGGTTTGGTAAAGTGGAATTCAAATGAGATGTGATGATTATGAGACAAAGATGAAGACTCAGTAGATCTTAAAATTATTCTTGTGAGCAAGCGAGAATTTGTTGCAGTTGGTATTTGTTGTTTCTTTGTTACTCTTTATGTTCTGTTAGTATAAGGCAGAGATGAGATTAAGTTGGAAAATTAGCTTTAGGGCAAGAAATACAAGGAAGGAAATCGGTTCTATTCTGAAATAGATTTTGGTATAGTTCTAATATGCAAGGGTGTTCTTTCTCTACATTGCCTATAGTGTCCAAAACAGTGGTGGGTTCTGAATCCTGGTGCAACCAGTACAGTGCGTCTCCCACATGCACGCGCACAGTACACGCATGTATCCTTACCTCCGCAATGCCTCTGCAATGCTCCAACTGCTCGGTGGAGCATTGCGCAGGCGCCGTATGCTCCATGCATGTGTGTGGAAGCACCGAAGAGTTCAAATGCAGGTAAGGAGCTCGGGCGGGTAGGCAGGCCCTCCGGAGCACTGTACGGAACGGTACCTGGTGCTCCTGGCAGGCACTGGTATGCTCGTACAGGGGCATACCGCCTGCAACCTCCCCCCACACCCCTACATGGAAGGCACTTGAAAGCACTATAATAGATGAGTTTTTTTCTTTCTACCAGCCAGCCTCTTGGAGTAGAAACTGGGCTTACAAATATTTTACTAGTTGGTGAAATTGATGCAGAAGCAAACATGGTAACCAATTAAATTAGAAAATGGTTTTGATGAATTCACTGTTTTTCACAGCATTCAGGTTTGAAGGACAAAAAATCCCACAATAAACTCATGGGCACCTTTGGTAAACATAAGGTAAGCAGTGGTCTGATTATGAATCTTTTTCCCCTGACCTCCACGTCTGTACTAGCCAATTAAATCAGCATTTCTCAACCTTGTGAACTTGAAGATAGGTGGACTTCACACATGCCAGGTGAGGAATTTTGAGTTGAAATCGACACATCTTAAATTTGACAAGGTTAAGAAATACTGATTGACCTAAAGAAAAGCTTCCAATAATATATTTGTTTATGATTGGAGAGTTAAGGTTAAATATCCACTGACAGGATCCAAATCTGTCTGGTAATTCAAAATGTGAACTTGGAGAAACTGATTTGTAACTATTTTGTGATGTGATAATTAGATAAAACTTTAGTTTTCAAAAAACAGAACATTTTCTTTAATAATCTTAGAGAAATGAGAGAGTTTTCAGGACACATTGAGGGTTAAATATTTAGATTTTATTACCTTGTAACAATAAAGGTTTTCAATGATTTTGTACTGGAAATTGTGAGTATTTCAAAGTCTCCACTTCATATTTTTTAAATGTTGGTTTGAATGGTTTTTCACAAAGTGGTAAAAGAATAATCTAGCCAGAAGGTGTTTCTTATTAAAAATATATATATCTGTAACTGTCCTCCAGATTGATTTTCAGCAGATGCCCTTTCAAAAGGTAGCACAGGTAAAATGTTACATTTTTTCAGACTTTTGCTAGTGGTAGTCGTTCTTATGTCACTACTTTCTTAATCAATATAGCTCCAATCTTCAAAATATGGAAGCTTGAGAACAGACAAATTTATACAGGCTGCTGACAGGGAATACAAAGTGTTTAGACCCATGATGGCGAACCTACGTTAGGGCACGCGAGGTTTTGCCCTGTCAGCTCTAACGCACATGCACATTTGGCCAGCTGACTTTGGCCTTCTTTTAAGGAGTTTTTCACCCTCTGGAGGCTTCCCTGGGGCGTCCAGAGAGTGAAAAATAACCCAACGCACAAACAGGTTCGGGAACAGAACTTTCCCTGTAGGACCGTTTTCGCGCTCCGGAGGCTTCAGGGAAGCCTCTGGAGCCTGGAGAGGGCAAAAAACAGGATTATCGCGTGCTAAAAGCGGGTGGGAGGGCGGGGGTCATGTGCATAGCATTAGGGGTGTGGGCACACACACACACACAACCCCCCTGCATTCCCCCAGCTTTTGGCACGTGATGGGGAAAATATTAGCCATCACTGGTTTAGACAGAGGAAAGAGGAGGGAAAACATACAGTTAGTTAAACACCTGGACTGCAAAGTGGGTTTCTTTGCTTTGTTTTGTGTAGATTTCCCCTTCGGGGAAAAGGGCGGCATATAAATGCAATAAATTCAATTCAATAAATTCAAATTCGATTTGTCTACCTCTTTCTTTCTCTAAGTGGCTTGCAGCACACAAATCACCAAGTTGCTGATCATAGTACATCAGCAAACTTTCACAAAAATTAAAAAAAATTGGATTTACCATGTAGTAATGGTCCATGATTATATTAAGATAAACGTTATCAACTCATTTTGTATAATTGAGGACATTGTTAAGACTTTAACTTCTCCAACAGAAGGCAGCTAAATCAAAGTCCAAATCTCACTGCGGATCTGATGATGAAGACTCTCAACAAAATGTGTCTGGAAAAGAATCTGGACAATTATACAGGTTAGTATACAATCATCACATCCATTGTTGTTTTTTTTAATACTAAATAGAGCTCATTCATTAAAGTGCACTTCTCCAGCAATACATGTAAGCTATACATAACTGTTCCCCTCGCACATATGTGCTAGTCATTCCTGACTCTAAGAGACAGTGCTTATCTCCACTTCAAAACCAAAGAGCCAGCGCTGTCCGAAGACATCTCCATGGTCATTTGGCCAGCATGACTAAATACTGAAGGCACATGGAATGCTGTTACCTTCCCACCAAAGGTGGTTCCTATTTTTCTACTTGCATTTTTACATGCTTTCGAACTGCTAGGTTGGCAGTAATGGGAGCTCACTCCGTT